ATAATACATACAAACTATTTAACGTTCTTTCACTGGATAGAAGATTTGTATCCCCTAATCGCGGAGATACCGCATCACTTTCACGGGCGAACATGGAGCTCGATCCATGCCGAGTGTTTTATGAAACATCCGCAACTCCGTTTTGTGGCGCTTCTGATCTATCGTGCCCCTCTGCCCCTTTATGATTTCTTCTTTTCCATGTGGTCTTCCACAGTTCCCAGGATTACCAACTCTCTAAACAATGCAAATTCATGTTTTCAACTTTGCATATAACGATTCTTTTTTAAATATAAATTATATTTACATAGATTATTATACAGTTTTTACTTCATTTGAATTTTTTATTTACACGATGGATGATATTTGTCATTTACATTTTATATTTTTATTCAGTTTGTATAATCGTATCACTAAAACTACCATTTATCAGTTGTATTTGATTATAACAAAAATAAAAATTGTAATTTTACAAATGCAACACATAGGTAAAACTTTTAAATATATTATTACGCTTTTCTATCATGTTGATAGAAGTATTTCATACATGCATATAATATTATGAAAGTAAAATAATGTCTATTTCTATGCGTTATGTATGTACAAAATTTTAAATCTACACTATAATCTACGTATAAAATTATTTAATACAATGACATGCGAAACAATGATTTCAGAAATCAATAACTACAATAAGTTTCATGGGATTGTTTTAATTAAAATGAAATAAACATATCACCCTAATATATAAGTTAATATTTTATGACACAAAATAATTGTTTATTTATACAATAGTACCTGAACCCTGACTCGTTTTTCTTCTTCTCTAAGTAAGTGCTTCTATTCCCATAAATTTCCTGCACATCCAATCCGAAGTGGATCCTATCTTAGCATTGAATCGTCAGGCAATCAAAGCAAAGCAATTTCTGTTCTCGTCTTCGATTGCTTAACGGCTGCGGCCCAGGGCCCAGAGTCGTGCAGAAATTGGAGCTTGTACTATATAAATTTTGCGCAAAAGTTTCAAAGGTTTTTACATAAATTTCTATAAACTTTATCCACACATTATAAGTATATATGAAGAATTTTGTTTGATATATTAAGAATAAATCATATTTTACATATATTTCATTTTAAAAAGATATATTTTAATATGCACGCAATAGAATTTCTGAATTTATATTTATATGCATGGATATGTAAGTTTTGCAAGACTCTCCGACCGCAGCGCGCTCCGTTAGCGACAATAGGAGTAGAAATTGCTTTGCTCAGATTGACTGAAGATTCAATGCTGAGACAAAATTCACTGCAGATTGAATCTGCAGTAAAATGCTTGCAAAAACTAAGAGAGGTAGAAAAAACCGTGCAAAACCTGAAGTATTACTCTATGTTGTGTACATAGAGTCGTCTACATTTGAGGGAGAGAGAGAGAGGGGGAGGGGGGGAGAGAGAGAG